AGGAGATGAGAGTCTTGCTGTGTCACTGCCTCGGTGACGGAGGAGCCATGTCGAAGCCCATGGCCAGTGGCAGAGGCAGGAGGTGCCAGGAGGTCTCCCAGTGGGCAGGACACATTCACAGCTCCTACACAGCTTTATTTTGGGTTGCCTATACTCAAACACCTCCACTGGCACTGATACCATGGATTAGGTGACATGGAGCCGATGAGCGGCCACCCAACCGCAACACTCTGTGTTGGGCTCCTGCCATTCGGTTTTACTGCTGGGAACACTCACGCCGGCTTGAGCAACAGCTTCAACACACCCTTGAATTCCCACCTCTTGTTTTAAGTCAAGTCAAGGCTTTACCAGCTAAACTGGCACGGCAGAGGTGGTAAAAGTGGATCTTGCCCATGCTGAAGCATCTTCAGAGCTCTTCATCCTCAAGCCACTGGTCTTTCCTTGGAGGCAACATCAGAAAAACCACATGAAAAGCTGCTGGAGAGCATCAGCATCAGGAGAGCATCGGCAGCAGCCGTTGCACTAACAGCAGGTGGGGGCCAACAACATTTTGAGGCAGAGCATTTTGGTTTCTGCCGTGCCACTTCTAGACTTGGGGCTAGAGGTTAGTGTCGATCCCGCAGCGCGGTGCTGTGCGGCCGGGAGCAGCCCCCCGGGGCGGGCAGAGCTCAGCCGCTCCCCACCTCCTGCCCAAAGGGTGTCCGGGGGATTTGGGCTTGGTCCAGATACGCTTGAGATCTCGTTACCCTGGGATTTGTGGCAGAGGAAGGGATATGAAGCAAATCTTTTGCAGTTATCGTTGCCTCCAGTGGTTAGTCTAGATCTCCCCTCTGCATCCTTTTCTTTTCAAATCTCCCAGTTGCGAAGTTGGCTGCTGTTAAGATGGGTGGTGCTTCGGTGGCCTCAGAGCAGCAGTTTCCATGGAAACTCAGAAATACCCGTTTTTGCACAGTCACGGTTTTAGCGGGTCACAGCCACCGCGGCTGCCGGATGACGGGGGGATCCCTAGCTAGCCCCATCCCTGCTCCAGAGGCACGAGAGCCGGACCCCCGCATGGATGGGTTTGTTGTCACCATCCCTCACCTTCCTTGACCTCCTGCTTGCAATAAAAAAGCCAAGCAGGGTGGGTGACAACACTGCCAGAATGTCACCCACGAGGCCGTTTTTTGCCCGTGGGACTTCTGCCTCCAGCCACATCTTTGCTCTTTGTGCTGGCACAAGCCCACTGTTGGGCTGCTCTCAGACTTTTTTTCACATTTTCCTCTCTCTTTTTTTTCTCTTCTGGGTGTTTTCCCAACATTATCAGAATGGGGTTTTTCTCTCTTGCTGTGCATTTTGAACTGGCCCCGGCTCAGGGGGAAGGATGCTGGGAAGAGGTGCTCTCTCTAATCCCACCCTGCAAAGCAGCATCACCTCCCGCTGCCCCGGGGGCTGTTTGGGGTATCCAAAGGCTGCTGAAGGCTGGGTGGCTTTGGGGGACCCTGGGAAAGCAGCCAGCCAGGGGTTAAATCACGGCTTTTGAGCTCCTCCAGCAGCAGGAGCGAGGATGGAAGGGATGAACTGAAATTCCCTTGAATAGCTGTGCGTGGAAGGAGGAAGGATTAGTCCCATTAGGGCAGAGCACTGGGGGTAATCCCGCTTTCGAATTAGGGATTTCGCTGTCATTAATCTGATGTTAAAATAAATAGGGCAGGAGCTTAGTGCCTTTGAGGGAGCTGCAAAGCACGGGAGGAAGAGGTGGGCTGGGGGGGCCTGAGCGGGGACTGGACCCTTCATCTCAGACCCCTCCAGTCCCATCCCTTCAGGAGTGGTCCTGGGAGAAGGGGGCAGAGGAGCATCCCTGGGACACATCCGAGCCCTGAGCCGGGGCTTCCTCCTCGCACCTCTAGTCCGTTCTCCAGCCAAAGCAAAGCTGTTCCCTACAGTGGGTTTTCTTCCACCTTTTCAGCCTTTTCTTCAAAGGCAGCACAAGTTTTCTTTTGTCTCTTTTCTTCCTGCATGCGGTTGTTGCCGTTTTCCATCTCGGCCGTGGCTCACCCTTGCTGGCTACGCTGATGGCCTCTGAACGTCTGTGCCCACAAAGCTGAGGGAGAGCCTTTCTTCTTTCTGTTGGAAAATTAAAACAACTCTTCTGGCATCCTGAGGGACACTGAGATGGGTTTTGGTGTTAGACGGAGAGGGGACAGTGGTGGCTCTGCCTGTGTTTAAGGAATTGGGGCACTTGTTTCCACTCCAGTGACAATTCTTCTCATGCAGGTGATTATTTAACCATAAAAGCCACAATTAGATCATTTAGAAGAAAGAAAGAATTTTTTTAGAGAGCTGATGAGCAGAGCACCTGAACAGAGTCCAGGGTGGCTCAGAACAGGGGCTTTACCCCACAAACATCTTCAACCTTGGGCTTCAGTTGCTCCACTGAAATTAAAACTCAGGGGCAGATGCCAGATCCAGAGGGCAGGTGGGTTTTCTGCTCTGAAATTTCTTTTTGAAATCTTTTTGATTTTGATGGTTTTGATGAGCAAGATCTGAGCAGCAAAAGGCACCAACCCAGGAGGCAGAAGAGCCCAGGATGCAGGAGACCTCAGCATCCATCAGGGTTTCCCATACTCCTGAGGACTCCCTTCAGCAATAGGCTGTGGGACAAACTCTTCCATGTTTTATGCAAAAAAGTCTGTCTTGATTGAATGTTGCCATCAAAATGGTCCATGCTGACGATTCATTTTTGACAAATCAGTTTTCTAATGGAAAACAAACTCTAATTCTTGATCGGTTCTGCTAGAAACAGGGACTCAGGCAGTGGGGAGCGGGACGGAGAACAGGAACGCAACCAGCAGCCCTAGGTGGACGGTGGGTTCAACAGCCTTGTCACTCCTGTGGCAGGGAGAAGCCTGGGATGTACAGTTCCCCATCACTGGAGCAGCAGGAGATGGAGCCGGCACGAGCCCAGGGTCAGGGTCCCAGGGTGGGATGGAGGAGCAAGGTTGGTTCCTCCTCTGGGGGAGGCAGGAGACCTAATTCATCAGCAGAGTTATATATATATATTTTAACAGTTCTGAATTCACATGCTTTTATTTTTTTACTTTAAAGGAAAAAAAAAAATCTCCAAGTATAATAAGTGAAATGAATGCCACTGCAGGCACCCTGGGAATAGCGCAGGAGCCGTGTTTACAGGGAGTTCCACATGAAACCCATCAAGCAATGCAAATATTGTAAGTAGGATGTGGCCGTGGGTTGGGCTTTGTTTGGGTCTGATGCAGGCTGTTTTCTCTATGGAGCAGGATTATCACTCTGCTTCTAATTAGACAGAAGGGAAGGGGATCCAAAGAGCCCCTGCAGATGTCCAAAAACAGAAAGTAGTCATTGAAGGGAGAAATTAAAATAAACTGACATTGGTATTTCAGCGATGCACGAGTCCTCTGGGGTTGTGGCCAGGAGCTTTGCCTGCTCCAGCTCCTTCTGCATCGCTGCCGGGGTGACCTGGGGTTTTATTTCATTTGTTTATTTGGTTTCATGTGTTTCCATTTTAGACAAGTGGGTTTCCAAGGCTGACGTGTTTGGTCTCCAGCATGGGCTCCAAGGTGTTCCTAGCTCTGAATTTTGGAATTAAAGCCCTCTCTGAAACAAGGAGTGAGCTGGGTTCAGGTTTTAGGGAAGCTGCAGGAGCTGACCCACTGATTTCTCTTTTAAGCTGGATAAATGAGCGTGTGTGTGCAAAAATAGTTTGAGACTGCAGCCCTGCACTTGCCTAATCTTATACTGTGATAAATCTTATGCTGAACTGCTAAATATGCCAGATAAAATACTCCTAAAAGCAGCAGGGATAAATATGGTATGTATTTTTGTTCAGGTTTCCAGAGCAGGAGAATTGTTGTTACCAGAAATAAGACAATGTCTATGTGCTGCTTTCTCCATGATCCTTTGCTCACATCCACTTCTGTACTTGAAAGCATAAAGGTTTATTCATACACAGATGTTTCCAATTATTTTCCTAAGAACAGTTCTCTTATTCGTGCTTAATTTGTGAAACTCCTGTTTAGTTCCCTCAAATCTTTTTTTTATTATTTTTAATAGTCAGACCAGCAGCAGTAATCGTCAGCTCTGGGCCAGTTTTGCCCTGATGCAAATCACCACTTACCACTGTGAAGCTATTCATGTTAGTGCAGTTGAGCACTGGTGGGTCCTGTAAGAGGATATGGTCTTTTTTTTTTCCTGTTGATTGGAGAGACATCCAACCTTGAGCCCTTTCCTCCTCTTTCAAAGCCTGTGCTGTGCGCCCTGGGTCCTGGTTTACATCTCCTAGCCCAACATACCGCTATCCTTGGCCCTACCAGCTTGTGCCACCATCTTGGCTTGGTTTTTCCTTCATCCTCAATCATCATCTAGAACTTAAAATGGGCTCGGGAGCTCCTTGAGACTCAGAAACTGGGTGGGAAGGAGATAGCCCACATTCAGCACCCATTTCCATGACTCGAGATGGAAACGAGGAGAGCAACCTCGCTGGTTGGAACAAGGAACCATAAGCCAGGTTTCTGGTGGCACCTGAATTAATTTGTCTTTTTTTTGGTCTTGCTTTCTTTGGCTTGGTAAAAGAGTTAATGTTAGTGGACATGTGGGGTGGTTCACTGATCAAACCCTTTGAGATCTGGAGATGGAAGTTGCTTCGGGAGGAGGACAGAGGCTGCTGTGCCCTCTGCCCTTGGGCAGAAGAGGATGGCGGTGTGGAGGACTTGAGATGGAAAGCGTAGCCATGGGCCTGGTTGTCCTTCTCTGACTTCGCTGCTGTGTAGGAAATGAAAAGCATCCTTTGTCCCTTCACCTCAACAGGAGTTTCTCTTTCTAAGGCCCTCTCCTCATTTGCCAAAATCTTCAAACCTCAGCAAATCTGGGATGTTTGGCAGTGTTTTCTTTTGTGCTTGCGTGTGTAAATAGCACGGTGCCTCAGCTTTCCCCTTCCTGACGGTCGCTGGAGCGTGTGCTCTCCTTAACGCCCTCCTCTCACCTGGTTCGAGCACGTCAGCATGCTGGTCATCCTCCTGAACTGCGTCACCCTGGGCATGTTCCAGCCCTGCGAGGACGTGGAGTGCCAGTCGGAGCGGTGCACCATCCTGGAGGTAAGCATCCCCTGCTGCCTGGGGTGCGCGGGGTGAGGTGGGGTGGCCGTCCTGGGAGCTGGGACCCCCCTCTTGTCCCTTTTCCCCAGGATCCAGCCATGAAAGCCCTTTCCATAGAGATGGTTTTTCCAACGCAAAGCCTCTCCTCTGAGGAGACCTGCTGCTGTAGCCCTAGGTGAGACCTGAAAGCTGACCAATTTGGACTTACCCCAGCCAGATCCTTTCTCTACACAAACAGTGAGGGTAGGGTGACTCAAAACTGGACATCCAGCTCCCACTGGAGGTGTTGAACACTTTCATTCCAGGATGACCAATGCCACAGGGAACCTCTTGCTCCCAGTCGGTCGGCTCCACCCCAGCCGGCTCACTGCCGGTGTCTCTTGGATGGCTGCAGTCTGTGCAGTATGGCACTGGTGACTTTGCCATTTTTTTCACTTCTTCATGAACAAAAAAGCACAGGACGGGCCCATGCTGGCTCTCCTCCACAGCAGAGCCCACCAGGCTGAAGTGCCACATTGCCAAGTGCTGGGACAACTGACCCTTGGGAAATCCATACACGTACAAAGCTCACAGACCCTTCTTGGCCACCCCAAGCTTAATTGGGCATCACACTCGTCACTCCGTCCCTCGCTGCGTCCTGGCAGTCCCCTCGCTGCCATATGCCCACAGGATTGGTTTTGGAAGCACATCCTGGCGGCATCTGGTGCGTGGGCTGCGCCTTGGCACTGGGCTTCCTGCAGCAACTCCTTCTCAGGCTTGGAACCAGCTTTTGTTGTTTCTCATGCATGACATCAACCTAGGCAGGGACTACTGACGTGGGGCAGTGTAACGGGCTTGGTTCGTTTGAATCCTGCACAAATCTGCTGCTTTCCTTCCCTTTGAGTGTTCCAGGAGTATGGCAAGGCCAATGGGACCCTTCCAACCAGCCTCTCCTGCCTCTTTCACAGATTGGTCCAGAACTGCCTGGAGGTGCCAGGAATAGCAGAGTTTATCATTAAACCCTCTTTCAACCTTAAAAGAGGATCTGATAAACCCAGAGCCAAGCAAACCAGATGAACTGAGGAGGTCTGTTATGGAATGAGATCACAAGAGGTCTGTTAGGGAATGAGATCAATTTTGGAGAAACCATTGCCACCAGAGGCATCCAGCGTAGGGATCGTCTCAGGGGGGCAGGCTTGGACTTGGTGTGAAGTGGCATCGAGAGGTGGCACCAGAAAATGTCACACTGCAAGCAGGGGTGGGCTAAGCTGCCCCCAGAGAGCCCATCAGAAAGTGTCCGAGCTCTCCTGAAAGGTCACAGTCCACATGCCAGCTGTATTCACCCAGCTGGGGCTTTGGACAAAGGCAAAATGTCCGGGCAGACAAAGGGAATCCTGCCTGGACGAGGAGGTGACATTATTGAATGCTCATTATTTGCTTCCTTTTTTTTTCATAATTTAATCAGGTTGTAATTGCACAGCTCACATGATCTGTTCTCCACAGAACGGATTCACGTGCAGCCTGCGAGGAGCCCAGGCACTGAATTTGGTTTTTAATACCAGCTGAATGATTACAACATATTGAGTACATTTGCAAAAGCCAAAGTATTATCCTGAAAGGTTTGCAGGCAGAAAAGGGCTGCAAGTAGAGCCATCGTCATGCCTCACCCTGTCACAGCTTGTAGGAGGGGATGGAAGCCAGAACATGAGCGGGAAAAGCCTGAACTTCTTTATGGAGGCGTTCAGATGCCAGTTATTTAGTGAACTGAAATAATGGAGCAAAACTTCTGTGTAGTTTATCGAGGGAAAGGTTGGTTGATGAAGCCAAGAGCCAGAGGAGATGGTGCTCACACAGCCCCGCAGAGGTGGGAACTTGGCTTCCATGTGGATGCTCTGTTAATTTTACCATTAATTGACTCGAGCCTTGATATGGAAGTACCAGAGACACAACACCAAGCAGTATGGTCAGTAAGAGAGTGGTTTGGACAGCAGCAGTCGTGTCTGTAGATCGAGAAGTTCCTGTGCTGTATCATGTCTGTAATTCAAAACAACAAAGCCTCTGCGCATGATTTAAAAGCAAAGTGTGTTTCCTGATGGTCACGTTTGCAGGCAACATGTAGAAGAGTATTTACACCAGAGTCTGTTTCATGGGATCTTCAAGTACATCCACATTTCATGCGTGTACCTGTGGGCTCCAGGCAGGCTGGAGAAATCTCAGCTGTCCACGTCCCCACCACCCTACAGAAGTCATAAAGGCTGAGGCATGTTCTGTAGGGCAGCAATGGATTAATTCGTACACCTTTATTTTATCTTCTTCTTTTCATGGTAATCTAAAAACCAAAATTTTGATCTTCACCAAGAGGTTCCTGCGCTGGGCACCCAGGCTTGCCAGGAGGATGTCCTGAGCCCTGCACCACGAGGAACCGCTCCAGTCATTCCACCCTTGTAGCTCCTGCCTCCGCCTCGCCTGGATGTGCTGGGTCTGGGTCTGTGGGCAGGAACCTGCTCCCTCTGGGAGTCCAGGAAGGCATCAGAGGTGAAGCACATCCCCCTGTGTTAGACGACACAAATTCTTTCTAGGAGGTAGGAGCTGCCCAGCCTGGGAACGCAGCTTCTCCTGCACGTTGCTGAGACCGCACAGACCCAACCACGCACTGCTGTTGAGTGCACGGGCTTTAAATGCCCAGAAAAATATCCAGTGATGTCCTTGTATCCTTGTCAGTAGATGAATAGACGCAGCTAACGCTTCCCAGGCTGGGACTGGACCAGGAGCGATGCGCAGGGGATGCCATCGCCCATCAGGTGCTGCAGATTCTGTTTCTGGGTTCGGTAGGTGACACTTTGGTACCGGTGCCTTGCTGTGCAGCGGCTGCCAGGGTGTGGAGTGCCTCTGCGGTGGGAGCGCTCGTGTCTCTGCTTTCCTTGTCGTTGATCAGAAAGCACGGCAGAACTGACTGTAATAATCTTTTACTGGTCCTCAGGCATTTGACGACTTCATTTTCGCTTTCTTTGCGGTGGAGATGGTCATCAAGATGGTGGCTCTGGGGATCTTCGGGCAGAAGTGTTACCTTGGAGATACGTGGAATCGCCTGGACTTCTTCATCGTGATGGCGGGGTCAGTAACTAAACCTCATAAATTTGCTCTTCACGGTGAAAGCAAGAAAACCCCAGAGAGCCAAATCCGTAGGTTGTCCTGGCTGGTTTTTGTAACATCTTGTGAGAGCTGCCAGGCTCCAGCCAAGGCAAAGTCTCACGAGTCTGATTTGGTTTCACCTCTGGCAACCATGCCAGATTATGGGGTGGGGTATCAATGGCAGGGCAGAAGCTGTGAGGTTTTCAGTAGAAATCCTTTTGCTGGTGTCACCCCTGTCAAATCAAGTGCACACTGACCTAGTCGCTGCGATGGCCAGTATGTCCCAGTGGAGAATCTAGCCCAAAAATCTGGTTCAGAAGATTGAAATCCCAGTGGAAGAAGCTGTCCAGAAGTTGCCCCAAATTACAAGTGCACACAGATGCCTCCTGTAACCTGGTTTCCATTTTGATGCCGTCTCCCACAGCTGCTTAGTTGTGCAGGGTGTGCTGGTAAACAGATATAAAGAAGATCTAGGTGCTTTTGACACCAGGTCCCTCATACCCATAGGGAAAAAAAAAGACTGGACTGAAAACTTGGCAAGTCTAAAACTTTTTTTCTATAAATAAATGGATTTTAGAATCCATTAGGCTCTCTTACCTGCTTAGTATACCCTAGAAAGGGATCAACTGCTTTAATTACAGAGCTCTGCCTTATGTCTGCATTCTTGGGTTTATAATGACCAGCCTGGGGTTAATTAGAACATTCCTGTAATATGTTGGGGCATTTTTACCCTTATGTGAGCCGTGTACAACCTTCAGGGCTCTAACGGAGTTTTGTTTTGCTCCACGTGATTTATCTGGCACACAATTCGGAATGGCCTTGCTGGTTTGAATAAAACATGAGCTCTCCTGCGCAGAGCTTCCTTTGAACCTGTGTGCGGTTACAGCCCAGGAGGGAACAGCAGGGACAACAAAAGAAGCAGTTCGTTATTTTTTTCTTTCCAAAGCTGGTGCACAGTTTAAGCCAGAAGTAGTAGGGGAAGAGGAAGGCTGTGGTTGCAGGGGAGCTGGGGATCACAACTCTGGCATCCATAGGTGACAGTGTTTCCCCACCCCGACCCTGCAGGATGAGCTCTCCTGATGGGCGAGCAAGGGTTCCCCACACCATCGAACAGATCATCCCAGCACAGGGGAAAATAAAACAGCCCACGCAGGCGGAAGGGCTGAGCCTCCGGCTCACAGCCCAAAGGCAGGCTTGCACCAGGAGCCTTGGTCACATAACACCTGGGGGAAGGGGGAAAGCGGCTGGTGAGTCGGTTTGGTGGTTTCCAGGGCATTTCTCCACCCTCCATGGCTGGATTATGTTTGAGAAGAATGGAAACAGCAGAAGCACCAGGAGACCCCGACGGGAAGCCGTGCTGCCAGTCTGGTGTTACTCGGGCTGAAGAGGAGGAGGAACAGCCCCTTCTGTGACTGATCCTGCGCCATCTCCAGATGGGTTTGGTGTATCCGAGCTGTGACCCATGACGTTATTTCCCACCTCTCAGAAGAGAGGCTGGTCTGGGAGCTGGGCTGGCCAATAATGCAGGTGGAGGGGAAGGAGAAGCCGTGCGATGGACTGGGGTCCTTCACCTCTCCCACCACCACCATTCGATCCAGCGTCTGCTCCTCAAACTGGAGATGGTTTTAGCAGGGAGCACACTACGGGAATATCAAGAGTTGGTTTTTCCAGCGAGCGGATGGATGTGATGAAGTTACTATAAGACTTTTCTGATAAGAAGGGAAACAAGTGATAGACAGTGCTGCCTGCTCTGCTCATCCCATTCGGTCTCCTTGAATAAGCTGGTTTGGCTTCCGAGCAAGGATACCAAAGAGAGCGGAGGGTAAGCGGGGAAACTACAAAATAAACATATCTTCTGCCTCTAGCAACAGTTTGTGTCTGAAGTTTGTTCCAACACTGAAAGCCCTTTCATATTTTGCTTGCCTGAGAAACATGCCCTGGAAAATTTCAGCCTGAATGGAGCTTACAACCTTCCAGTCTGTCCAGCAGCCAACTTGAGAGCATTTCCCAAGCATCGAAAACCTTGTCTGCAAGAGGTGAAACCAGAGAGGTTTCTTGTGTGCCCAGTCCCTGGTGATGTTTCAGGCTCAGGATACGCTTTGGACATCTTTAACTTGACAGCTGAAGGACGGGACACTGTTCATGGCAGAAGACATCCCAAAGGCTCGTGTCTCCTCTTTTTTTTCGGTACCCAGAGGCTGCAGGGAACCACCTACCGAGTGCCAGACCACTCAGACCTCCAGTCCCTGCACACCCCAAATTTCCAGCCCCAGCAGGTTTCTCTCAGGCATTTCCAGGATGTTCTTGGCTTCCAAGTGTGATATGAGAACAGGACCCTGAGCTTGGCCTTGACAAAGAAAACTTTGACTTTTTAATGAAGGTTTTGAATGTTTTCACTGCTTGTAGAAGGTCCAATCTGGAATCCATCAAGTAGTTCAGGTTGGCTTTGATGGGGGATGTAAATGCCCCTGAGACTTACTTTCAAATCCTAAATGGAGTATCATGGAAGTCCAAAGTATCAGGGTCAGAAAGTCTGTTTCCTAGGCCAGATCCTGGGGTTTTCGTATTTTATCAGCCCCATTCAAACTCCAAGGGCCAAGTAAAAGCGAGGCCCCAGGATGTAAATGCCCCTGAGACTTACTTTCAAATCCTGAATGGAGTATCATGGAAGTCCAAAGTATCAGGGTCAGAAAGTCTGTTTCCAAGGGCCAAGTAAAAGTGAGGCCCCAGAAAGTGGCCCTTTAACAGGCTGACAGTTGAACGCTCTCTGGAGTACAAAACCAGCTCCCACTGGAGCATTTCATACTCCTTTTACACGCTATTAGGAGATCAAAACCTGTATCAGTTACACCAAAATCCACTTACTCAGCCACCCGATAAATTGCGAGCGTGCTGTATTGGGACCACGCCAGCGAACAGACTCAGGCTTTGGCACAGTTCACTTTGGGGACTCGGAACAATGCTTTGTCTATTCCTGCAAGGTCTGTTCAGAGCAGGCACCTGGTGCTGGCTCCCAGCCCCTCGATGCAGGTGTGAACGGGCATTTCCGATGGCTGTCCCGCTGTGTGGTCCTTTCCGCGGCTCCGGCTTGCCTCTGGCTGCTCTGCTCCAGCTGCTTGATGAACACACGTTAGATTTAAAACCTGGTTTTGTGCTGTGCTGAGTTTGGAAGCTGTTCATCATGTTCGGCTCAGTTCTCATGTACAAGCTTTAGGGTGGTTTTGATTTATAAAGATTCACTAACTACTTGAGGGAAAAAAAAAGAAAAAGGAAAAAAAAAAAGTGTCTCTGGAAGGTTATCACTAAGACCAGCTCAAAATCACCAGGGTCTCTGCACGGCAAATTAAGGCTAATGGGCCAAAGTCAGCTCGGTGTAATGCCAGTGATGTGGGGTTACACCAAACAGCTTTAGGACAAAGACACAAGAGAAGCAAACATCAGAACATCCACACATTCCCTATTTAACTCTGCAGAGCAGGGCAAGGCGTGAAATACAAAGTACGAGGCTCCAGCAGAGCAGAGCACGGGCACACGGGCAGTGATGCACCTGAGCAAGGCTGGCCCCAAACCAAACCTCCCTCTGCTCCTGCCTGAAACCCAGCCAGCTGTTGCTTCAGTCCGTTCGACTGCTGCTTCTTGATGGCACGTAAGGAATTTGGTCCATCCTGGCTGCAGGATGCTTCAATTGAAAATCTCTCTTTCCACTGAAGCTTCTGAAGCACCCGGTTGCAATGCTTTTTCTTCCTTTTTTTTTTTTTTTTTTTTTTTTTTTATTTAAAAAAAAAAAAAAAGCAAAACAAAAGCTCTTTCTCCATGGGATCCGACAGCTTACTCGCAGGGTTGCTTTTGATGCTGTGATGTTATTTGAACAGGCGTGGTGAGAGATTTGTGACATATTTACAAGTGCTTCCCCGTAGTCAAACTCATAAATTGTAATTACAGCCATGCTAACTAGCCATAACCCCATTAAAAAAACAACACTGCACACATTTGCCACTCATTGCTATAAAAGAGCAAGAAAACTGACTTAACATCCTTCCCAGCCTGGGAGAGAAATGTTTATGTGAAATGGAGACAGAGCATGAAAAAGAAAATCTTCTCTATTCTTAATAATAAGATGGAAACCAAACTACTTTAATGTCGTTTGTCGGCTTGATTATTCACATTCCTGTCATAGGGGGAGAGATAAACTGGCGTGTAAATCCGCTGGGGTGCTGGTAGGGGGTGTAATATCAGAAACATCTTATTGACTCTGAGCTGCATGGAGCGGCGCAGTCATTTCCCCAGGAAGGCTGCGGATGCACCGCCGGCCGGAACGCAATAAGCTGATGGAAAGGGAGAGCAGCACGGCTGCGGGAGCAGAGCAGAGAGCTGGGGGCTCCCCCTCTGCCCGGATTTCTGTGCAGCTCCCTGTCGTGCCAGGTCCTGCTTTCCAATGCGTTACCTGTGCTGCAGCCTGGGAGCACATCTGCCTGCTGGCCCCCGCACCATCACTGCTCCTGGGTATTTTCAGGCTCTTAGAGGATGAAATATCCTTTATACGCCCTATGGACAGCATGATACACGTTATGAGCTGAAAACACAGTGTGGGTGGTTTTCAGCAGGGCCCCAACCCCAGGCAGCCCCAGCACCCTTGTGCCCA